TGACGGGTGGAGTTAATGCTGCAGAATATATGCTGCGCGCTGGCTACCAAGCCGGGAACACGCCTAGTCGCCTGCAGTAGTGTTTGGTCCGCAGGCGAAGCGGGACAGACGGGGTACGAGCCATGAGCGTTGGCGCTTGGCAGTTAGAGCGCTGTCTGGCAGCGGCAGGTCGTGGCACCGCGCCACCCGCCAGTAGTCCGATCGTCGTATGGGCACCACCGGCACCGGCCGAGTCGATCGTGCAGCGACGTGGGAGGGTGGACGGTGGAGGGAGGGGCCCCGTCGCGCTTGCGTCCGTGGCGCCGTCCACGCCGATCGATCGATCGGGACGTGCCCGCTAACTCGAACCCGGCCTGTTCACGCACGTGGCGCCCGCGTCCCCGTGCGCGCCTGCCCGCGCACGGAGTGCACGGTGCACCCCCGGCGCCGACGCTGTGCGCGCGCTCTCGTTCCGAAGGTTTGCCCCGCCCGGCCGTGTGGACTTGGCGTGCGCGCGCGTCGGCGTCGCTCTGTATGTAGAGCACGCACGCTCGGTCCTGCCGCGCGGGTTGCTGTCCGGTGGGCATACGCCATACGTAGCGACGGAGCGACGGATTCCGCCATGATTGCGCCGATTCGCGTTCCTGTCCCGTGTACGTGTACGCGTACCCTACGCCTACACGGCGTAGGTCTCGGGACCGGGGGGCTAGCTAGGTTCCTGCGGACAGAGACCGCTTACTGTCGCTGGTTACGATGGGAACGAGATGGCTCGCTTGGGTTCCGTTCATCTCCGCGTGAATCTCCTAGAATGCCGCCATTGTCATCGTCCGTGAACAGGTGATGAACCATCAAGCGTTGGGCGGCACCGCACACTACGGGTGTGTTTGGTTGCTTTCATCCCGCTGAGACATGTTAAATGTAGTCATGCTGAGTACTCCCTCCGTCCCAAAATTCTTGTCTTAGATTTTTCTAGATATGGATGTATCTAATACTAAAACGTGACTTGATACATCCGTATTTAGATAAATCTAAGACAAAAATTTTGGGACGGAGGGAGTACATGTATTTGTTAATCTTTGATAGTAATGTATACGCTCAAAATGCTGAGCTGAGACTTTGTTCGATAGCCTGCACGTGAACATGGGTGCCCGCCGGTGGAGCGACGAGCTGAAACGGGGCTGCAAAACGTCGGGGGAGGCCGCTTGACCGGCCAAAACGCATGTCAGCAGGCGCGGATGCAAACGCGGTCGTTCATTTCATTCATTGTTCATTCCACAACGCGGTGCATGTTGGTTACCTAATGTGATGGTCATTCCGGGCAGGCTTAGGTACGCAATAGCTTTCCGGTGAAGTGACGACCAACGTGGGATGCCGCTGCGTTCGTCTTCTCTCCCGGGTGTCGGAACACCGTGCTCGCGTACGGAATATATTTCGTTTTTGTCTCACGCACGAACCAAACAACCACCATGTATACGTGCACTGGAATATGGCGATGATTCCAGAGCCGTGGCCCGGGCCCCTCCACGCTCGGTCCCAGAAATCAAATAGCCACTGAAATGGACGTGTTCTGTCGGTAGTTCGAATTTAGTTAAGAGTACCTGCACATATTTTTCTTTCGATTTTACTTAAAACTATTAACTGAAAATGCAAACTGCCGTGTGTGACGGACAATCATAACCCAAAATAACGCCAGGAAGAAAACATGAAGCATGTAGCAAGGCTTGTCTCTATTTGCTAGTGTCCCATGGGTGCCTCAGTAGCTTTCAGTTGTAATGTTGGACCAAGATTTCATGTTCAAAGATGAACTCTAACTAAGCCTAGGAATAGTTTGTAATCCAAACATAAACCCAGCCCGATCCGTACATGTAGTCCATGTTCAGCCACCAAACCAAACCAGACCAACTAGCAAGTGCTATGATCCAAACTGTAGGCATTTTCAAGCCAAACCAATCCAGATCATTTCCTACATACAGTTGGAACAGAGAGTTTTAAACCAAGTGTGTGTTCGGTGCGTAGCTGCTGCTGTACAGTGCGTGTCTAGGTTAGCTGCTGTCCAGTGCGTGTCTAGTTTAGGATTATTATTTTTTTGAAGCAAAGCAAACTAATTGATACTAACCTAGTACTATATTTCCCTTTCTTACTGCTGCCGTAGCGTCTCCAGTTTTTTACTCATTACATCACTTTACACTAATACAAAATGTATAGAAAAGCAAAATCGGTCTGGGGATGGGTTGTTTGACTGGATTGTTAGCTGCTGTCCAGTGCGTGTCTGTTTAGGATTTTCTTTTTGAAGCAAAGCAAATTAATTGATGCTACGAACTAGTATTTCCCTTTTTACTGCTGCCATAGCATCTCCATTTTTTTTTACTCATTTACATCACTTAACACTAATACAAACTGAACAGAAAAGCAAAATCGGTCTGGGGATGGTCGCTTACTGGATTTTGTCCGTAGATAAAAAGGGTTTGAGACTGATTTATTTTGGTCCAGACCAAAACAAACAACAACAACAACAACAACAAAGCCTTTAGTTCCAAATAAGTTGGGGTAAGCTAGAGGTGAAACCCATAAGATCTCGCAACCAACTCATGGCTCTGGCACATGGATAGCAAGCTTCCACGCACCCCTGTCCATAGCTAGCTCTTTGTCGATACTCCAATCCTTCAGGTCTCTCTTAACGGACTCCTCCCATGTCAAAATCGGTCAACCCCGCCCTCTCTTGACATCTTAATCGGGTAGTCATCGGTGTCGACATCACTTGTTCGAACACTTGTCACAACATTATTGTACATGTCCTTGATGAGGGTAATGTACTTTGCTGGGACTTTGTGTTTCTCCAAGGCCCACCACATGACATTCCGCGGTATCTTATCATAGGCCTTCTCCAAGTCAATGAACACCATATGCAAGTCCTTCTTATGCTCCCTATATATCTCGATAAGTTGTCGTACCAAGAAAATGGCTTTCATGGTCGACCTCCCAGGCATGAAACCAAACTGATTTTTGGTCACGCTTGTCATTCTTCTTAAGCGGTGCTCAATGACTCTCTCCCATAGCTTCATTGTATGGCTCATCAGCTTAATTCCACGGTAATTAGTACAACTCTGAACATCCCCCTTGTTCTTGAAGATTGGTACTAATATACTCCGTCTCCATTCTTCTGGCATCTTGTTTGCCCGAAAAATAAGGTTGAAAAGCTTGGTTAGCCATATTATCGCTATGTCCCCGAGACCTTTCCACACCTCAATGGGGATACAATCAGGGCCCATCGCCTTGCCTCCTTTCATCCTTTTTAAAGCCTCCTTCACCTCAGACTCCTGGATGCGCCGCACAAAACGCATGCTGGTCTCATCAAAGGAGTCATTCAGTTCAATGGTAGAACTCTCATTCTCCCCAATGAACAGCTTGTCGAAGTACTCCCGCCATCTATGCTTAATCTCTTCGTCCTTCACCAAGAGTTGGCCTGCTCCGTCCTTGATGCATTTGACTTGGCCAATATCCCTCGTCTTCCTCTCCCGGATCTTAGCCATCTTATAGATGTCCCTTTCACCTTTCTTCGTGCCTAACCGTTGGTAGAGGTCCTCATATGCCCGACCCCTTGCTTCACCAATAGCTCGCTTTGCGGTCTTCTTCGCCATCTTGTACTTCTCTATGTTGTCTGCACTCCTATCCAGGTATAGGCGTCTGAAGCAATCTTTCTTCTCTTTAAGCGCCTTCTGGACATCATCATTCCACCACCAGGTATCCTTATCTTCGTTTCTCCTTCCCCTGGACACTCCAAACTTCTCCGAGGCCACCTTACGAATGCAAGTCGCCATCTTCACCCACACATTGTCCGCATCCCCTCCTTCCTCCCAAGGGCCCTCCTTAAATACCATCTCCTTGAACACCTGAGCTACCTCCCCCTTGAGCTTCCACCACTTCGTTCTAGCGACCTTGGCACGCTTATCCCGCTGGACACGAATCCGAAAGCGGAAGTCAGCAACCACCAGCTTATGCTGGGGTACAACACTCTCCCCAGGTATCACCTTACAGTCTAGGCACGCACGCCTATCTTCTCTTCTCGAGAGGATGAAATCAATCTGGCTAGAGTGTTGGCCACTACTAAAAGTCACCAGATGTGATTCTCTCTTTCTAAAGAGGGTGTTAGCTACAATCATGTTGTAGGCTAGAGCAAAGCTTAAGACATCTTCTCCTTCTTGATTCCTGATGCCATAGCCAAAGCCCCCATGCGCCCCTTCAAAACCTGTGTTAGATGTACCCACGTGGCCATTGAGGTCTCCTCCTATGAAGAGCTTCTCACCAATCGGTACACTCCTAACCATGTCTTCCAAGCCTTCCCAGAACTCCCTCTTGGTGTTCTCATTGTGGCCTACTTGCGGGGCATATGCGCTGATAACATTAAGAACCAAGTCCTCAACTACCAGCTTGACCAGGATAATCCGGTCCCCACGTCTCCTGACGTCTACCACTCCATACTTGAGGCTCTTGTTGATCAAGATGCCTACACTATTTCTGTTTGCAGCCGTCCCCGTGTACCACAGCTTGAAGCCGGTATCCTCCACCTCCTTCGCCTTCTGTCCTCTCCATTTGGTTTCTTGGACGCAAAGGATATCAACATCTCTCCTCACTGCTGCATCAACTAGCTCCCGAAGCTTCCCTGTCAGAGACCAAAACAAACCAACCCAGTAATTATTAAATCCCGTTTCAACCAAACCAAAGCAGCCCAAAATGAAAACTGAACTGAAACTACGGTTTCAGCCCAAACTATTACCAGGTTTAATTCTAACAGCCGAGAAAAGTCAAACATTGTCACAAAAAAGAAACTGAGAACGCCTTTACTAGACTACTATATCCCTCTCCGCGTCTAAAGAAAGCCGGTCTCCAACGCCCCATGTTTTCTCATCTCAAAATTCAGATAACTACAGAACCGCATATAAAACTAGCTAACTGTATACACATCCTCGTTGGAATTACATTTTTTTATGTAGTAGCCATATCGTATATAAGAGACAGTTTCTTCAAGCTAATTTCAGAGGTGGGCCGGATCTGGATGCTGCTGGTCTTGTTCTATCTGGTAAAGACTTTCTTCGTTGTTCGGCACATGCGACATACTCGTCGATTGGAGGAAGAGGGGGCTCCCCCTTCTCGTCTTTTGGAATTTGTCCCCTGATAAACTGTAGAAGGCAAACACATTGACCAAGTGAGAAGCTGACCACACCCAAAAAGAGAAGAGGGGAAATAACATGCGGGCTAGTTTACCATACCTTCGATGCCCAATGTCTTTCTGCTTGCATGCAAATATCCCTGATATCTCTTCCTGCCATCCTGCATTCAATGTTCAGAACTAGTAAGATAAAGATAATGGATTGCTAAGCACAGCACAGTTTGTCTTGAATGATCTTTTAGCAGCAGCATGCGTAGCTGTCCAGACTGTCCAGATGAAAAACATAAAACATTGGTACACGACCTAATTTCCTAGATACTACGGGGATGGGACAGCACACCAAACCTTGCTAACCAAGTCAAGAGTCACAAATAGACAAATAAGAATCGACACAGCTTTCCCTGATCTACAGCAATGCATTTAAGAATCTAAATTCAATACACAAGACGTTAAAAGAAACGACAAGCCGGAGATTTGCTACTGCAAACAAGACAGGCTTGTTGTTGAATCAGGACTTGCATTTTTTTTTGTGTTACAAAATGTAGCACACTCTGAAGTACTCCCTCTGTAAACAAATGTAAGACGTTTTAGGACACAACTCAAACATATTTTCGGAGCATCTCTTTGCCGCTTCCATGTACACAAGGATCATATATACATGTGATCCCCGTCTCTGATGGGCTATGTACCATTACGGCACTGAGTTTAGAAACATTTTTTTCCTTCAATTTTTATTTTTCAGAGGAACGTAAAACAAATATATCAATATGCATATATCTTGTTTTATTCGTTTAGATTTGTCCTTACGAATGTGTATAGTCTTTAGGAGATGATATGGAGCTACTTGTGCCATATAAATATCAGAGCATGCAGAAGTTATTTACCATATGTCAATGGAGTTGTGAAGAACTTAGTATTGAATATCAGAGCATGCAGAAGTTATTTACCATATGTCAATGGAGTTGTGAAGAACTTAGTGTTAAATATCAAAGCATGCAGAAGTTATTTACCATATGTCAATTTTAGACCTTTTATTTGTTATATTGAGCAGTTGACCTACAAAACATATGCTACTAAATGTGACAGCATCTTCTTCCAGTGAACTGTCAATGTGGTTTTGCAAACATTCGCTTTGTTCTGAAAAGGAAAATTTATGTATATAATTGGTATTTTTGGTTTTTTTATTAGCGGCTCTGTAGCAACACAGGGACATCCTAATTGAAGATTCAGAATGAAGTACTTACTCCTCAGTGGCAAGGGAAAACTGAACCAACTCGGGTTTTGTTAGGTGCTTTGCATATTGGGCTGCTATTTCTGCACGGCTCTGCTGGTCCGGTAGGCCGAAACAAATCATTGAATCAAAACGGCTGCAAATTAACAAAGGAAGCTGGAGAAGTTAAGAGCACAGTTTACATAATCCAAATAAAAGATAAGATCAAATTGATCACGATATCTAAGTTTTATTGCAGCACTGTTAAGTAGTTTAGTCCAGTATTGCAGCACTGTTTATTTGTAGCTTATATGTTGTCATGTACGGCTCTTGGAAAAATGCAGGAAGCCAGAAAAAAATCTCACATGAGAACTTCAGTACTCACTAGACCTTGTGAACATTATTTAGGACCGCTTACAGGAACACAGAAGGGGGGTGGCCAAATAGAGCTAAACCTGATGAGAGCAGGATCAAGGTCTTCCTTTCTATTTGTTGCAGCAATAACCACCACACGTCTATCCTGCTCGAACCCATCGATCTTCACAAAAGAAATTTAATTAATGGCAATAATACACACGGCAGCTGCAGTGATTGTAATAAGCATGATAGAAGCACCTAACAGACCGCATGCAGGTCTTTTGTCAGGTAACTGAGAGGTATCAAGCTATCGAAATTGGATACCAAAAACATGGAGAATAGCAACAGGGGCTTACATGCTAATGCTTCCACAAAGCATAAGTAAATAACCACAGCAAAAACCAGGCATGAAATAAAATGTCCTGCCAGTTAGAAGTATGCGCTTTCATACATGTTACAAATGCATAGTTTCTGCAACACAGTAAGGGCTTTAAGAGTATTGTATCTCTTATTCAATCTCTGGGGTTTATACAAGGTCTCAAAAGTACTGTACCAATGTGTGTGCCGAAGTGTAGACTGGGCTAGCTAAAGTAGATTGCTCTGGTGAAAGTCGTGTTGTGTGGCGTGACGACTTTGGGTAATTCCTACTGGGTTCTGCAAATTCTGAGGAGCAAGTGGCCTACGCTGAACTGGTTGCTGTTCCAAGCACGAAAGGTCATGGCACTAACCGCTGACAATGGTGTGAGGTGAAAGTGGATGTGGACTGTGCAGGGGTTGCGACAAAGCTGGCAACTACAGCGTCATATTGTTTGGCATTTGGTTAGGTGTGACAGAAATAATGTCTACATGCAAAGATTATGTAACTTCATTTAATGTTCCGCAGGCTTCTCTTGAGCCGTGGCTATGCACTCTCGTGATTTTGAATAAATAAAGCCCATAGTCTCTCCTTCCCTCCCTAACTGGCAGGATGAGTGATTGAAAGAAGTATGTATAAACTCGTGGTTACTTGCACCAACAGAGATAAAAGGCACTCAATATTACTTACACCCACAGAGGTAAGAGGCACTCTACCTGTCGCAGAATTACTGATAATATCCTTCGAGTAGCTTCATGCATTTCACTATCTCGAGATATAGCAAAAGAGTCTACCTATACAAGGATATAAATTAGAAGGATGCAAAATTCACATCTTAGTATAAACAGGAAAATCAAATCACTATGAAGCGAAGTATACTAAAATAGAGAACAAAAACAGGCTAAAGGGTCATGCAGACCTCCTAGTTAAGTTGTTTTGGAGGCATATAAGTATAAGTAGTTCTACTTCACCAGCCATCATCATTTGGAAAGGCAAAATTCAGCTTAAAGCCTAAACAAACAACACATTTTTTACGAAATTTGGAACAACAACAAAAACATTCCACCAACATCAGTATGTTAAGCACCACCATACATTTCATAACTGATGTATTATCCTTAGCAAATGTATGCTATACAGATGACGGTGTGTACCTCATCTAGGAAAATAATACCTCCGTCAGGAAGATTGTTGGCAAGTGAAAAAACAGATCCCAACAGGCGCTCACTTTCACCATAATATTTTGACATGATGATCTCCAGTGGCACATATAATAGTGGAACTCCCTAGAACAAGTAAAATGATCAGCAGAAAAGCTTCAGAAAACATATTCCAGTTTCTTTTGCACAAAATTACTTTAGGGAATTTCCAAAAGTATAGGAGTATGAGTTACCGCTTGCTTGGCAATAACGCGAGCAGAAGATGTCTTACCAGTCCCTGAAATGATGAGGCAGTGGTAACTGGTAAAGTAAGCAAACAAACCAGCAAAAAACAGACGCAATCATACTATTAGCGCACAAAGAGGGGCAATGGGTATTCCTCAAAATCAGGAATTGCAAGAACTGATCTGTTGCAATTTCTTGCTTATAGTAAATGGTCTAACCAACAAATACTATAACTTCAATTATGAAATGGCATAACCAACTTACCTACTATTTTTTTTACCATGGCTGTCAACATTAATTAAGAAACAAAAGAGCAAAAAAATGTAATATTTTTGGTATTGAAATTTGCATTGAAGTAAAAGGCCATTCAGATCACGCACCAGGTGGACCTTCAAACAGAACCGCCCGAGGTCGATTTGTTTCAAATTTGCAACGTGTACCACGAGCAATGTCATCATATATTTGAGGATTCTGTAAAGCCAAGAGTACAGTATCCTCTATCTCCCTATAAAGAACAAAAGACATATATAAACCTTAAGAACTATGCCTTTATGATAGAGTACACAAAAGCAGTTGTCTATTAAGACTGATATAGTAAGCTCTGCAGTCGAGCACCAACCAGAGTGTCAACTGTGAAGGAAAGAAGTCAAATAAGAAGAAAAGCAAAAATGAATGGTACAATGCATGGGAGATGTTTGTAATTATGCTTGAACGAACACATCTACATACTAACAATATAATACCTTTACTTTGCATATAAAAAAAATCTGCTGACGAGATTAAAAATAACAGTGAACTGGTGATGCAGTACCTTTTCTGATGTTCATACCCAGCAATGTTCTCCCACATGACAGTGCCATCCATTGGAACACTAGAGGTTTCATCAAACCCATAGACCCTAACACCCATATCCTCTAAATCAGATACAGTTTTTTCTATAGAGGGTAGATGCTTAGATCTCTGACCACTTCCTTTGGTTGACGCTTTCCCTGATGATGTCTTAACATCTTTCTGCCCAGCTATTTTTAAAGCACTGACCAAACCTTCAAGTTCTTTCGAACTAAAACTGTCAGGCTTGATGAATTCAATCTCCTGAGAGTACACACAACAATCAGAAATTGCATTAAATCTTTATATAATGACAAAGTGTAGGTTAAATTTCTTAAACAATCTTAATTAAGTATACATACATAAGGACTAATAGCATATTCAGATCCGACAAGTGGCTCAAATATCAAAATACAAAGAGAATCTTCATTGTTCTCTCCAGTGCTTGCTGTCGTTTTTGGGGGATTCAATGTTATTTGACGCGCAGCTGCACTGGAACAGAAATTATTGATTAAAACACAATATAATTGGGTATTTGGCAACACCTATTTCTATGACATGGAAAAGAAAAACACAAGGCAATCTGCAGGTAAGAAGACTACATGAGAAACCCTGACAATAATGCTTGCACTTTCCACAATCATCAACAAAGAGTTAAAAATGCAATGTATCATCTGTATCTATGATTCCTCTTCAGCTGATCAAACAAGATAAATACAATTGCTCCAATCCAAGCAGAGAGAAATAGTGGCACAGGACTCTGATTAAGGAGAAAAATAAATATGGAAAGAGGACGTGAGGACACAAGAGAATGCATGTGGGTGAAATCTGAAACTGTATTATCTGCGATCTATATATGATTGCCCTTAGCACAAGTGCAAAACCAAATAACCAGGCAATGACAATACATATCTTTGCACCAAACTGAATATCATCCTGTTTCTTTTGCTAACCTGTCCCAAGCACGCAATAGTATCTCTGAGCCACCAACACACTGTTCTGCCTCATGTCCGATATGCGTTACGAGATCAACAATGAGGCGCGATATATTACAGGTTGACGGTACATTGAATTTAACAACCACCTGTAAAAAACTAAATCAGAGAAATTAAATGCAATTATGAAGTGAATCTTGCACAAGGTTACTATCTGTTACTGATTATGGGGTGAAAATGTGCAATTCTAAGTAAACACAGTAGCCTGCCCTGAATGTCATGCCAGATCAACAAAATGCACTTACAACTGTGCTCTAATAGCAACTGTGCAACACTCTACCTAACCTACATCTCAAGGTATCCTTGTGCCGACTACCGAGACCCACACTTATTTCTTGAACTGACTGATTCTCGTACTTAGGTTCACTCGAATTTGTTACCAGTTACCACTGTGACATGCTACATCTATACTTTCTACATTAATCAGTGCACCAAAGCATTCCCACCAAAGTGGCTGACACAATGTACACCGCAGTGCTCACTGATTCCTCTAGCCCTTAGACTGACATGTTATGCACAACTAATATTGTTCAGCAGATAACTCGAATGGAATATTTGTGCTGTGTGGGTGGGGGGCGACCTTCTGGCCCTTGATTGCAACTTCAAACTTCGGGTACGACCCTGGCTGCATTCCTCGGCTCTCAATCAGCTCCATTATCCTCTTCCTCTCCTTGCGGGCCAAGTCCTCCACCGGCGCCGCATCCGTGCTCACCGCGTCGTCAGCCACGCCCTGTAAACACAGATCAAACTCAATAAAGCTCCCTGAACGAAAACCGAAAGCTCGGACAGAAGCAAAACATAACACGCCACCTCCTCATTGGCATCAGCGTAGGCCACCACCGGCAGCGACGCGAGCGCGGCGGCCGCGCCGGCAGCGAGGAAGGCGGCACTCCTCGAGGACGAAGCGCGGGATTTCGCATTGGGGAATCCTAGGCGTGACCCTAGTGCCGTAGAAGGCGAGGCGGATGCGGAGGCGGCGATAGGCTTTTGGAGAGGAGGCGGCGGGGGAGGGGAGGAGGTGGTGGTGGAGGCCGCCGCCCCGGCTTGCAGCTGCCGGAGGAGGCGGGTCGCTGGGAGGCGTCGGCGGAGAAGCATCGCCATGCCGGGGTTTCGCCGCCAGGAAGACTGGAGGTGGGGGAGGCCACCGGAGATTTCGCGGCGCCGGGGAGTTTCGCAGTTGTGCTTTGCTTTTTGCCCCCTGCTCACGAAAGAACAAGGCGTACTTCCGATATACGCCTCCATGACGTTTTTCTTCTTCTTTTGGAATGCGCCTTCATGGCGTTTACGTTTTTTTAAAATTTGAGAGCAACTTCATGGCGTTTACGTTTTTTTTTTAGCATCCTTCATGGTGTTTACGTTTTTTTTTGAGCGGTTGCAACCAAGTTTTATTCAGCAAACTCCACAAGATGTGGGATACAAAACTGGTTATGGGATTGGTCAAATCATACGTGACGTCCCAAACCCAGCGAGAGTGCAAACTTGGCTAATCCATGTGCCTCAACATTAACGATACGACTTTCAAAAGTAAAAGTACATATTAAAAGACTCGCTATTCTATTAATCTCTCGAATGATGGCTCCATTCTCTTCTTGACTTTCTGAATTGATGGCTGCCACCACCTCCTTCGCATTTGATGCAATCACTAAGTCGTGAAGATTAAGATCTTGTGCCAAGGCCAGAGCCTCCCTGCAGGCAATCGTCTCCAAGATGGCTGGGTTATCCACACCATGAATCACTAAAGCAGAACTGCCCAAAATAGTACCATTATGGTCTCTGCATACAGCCACTGCTGACCCACCTCGTCCTTAACGGCAGGCAGCATCTACATGAATTTTAGAATGACCCTGTGGCGGGGCTTTTGGTCACTGGATGTTCAGATTCGCTTGGCGCCCTTGCCTCTGCTCCCAAACAGCAGGTGGACCCTTGTGTTGGAAATATGCCCTAGAGGCAATAATAAAAGTATTATTATATTTCCTTGTTCATGATAATTGTCTTTTATTCATGCTATAACTGTATTATCCGGAAATCGTAATACACGTGTGAATACATAGACCACAATATGTCCCTAGTGAGCCTCTAGTTGACTAGCTCGTTGTGATCAACAGATAGTCATGGTTTCCTGACTATGGACATTGGATGTCGTTGATAACGGGATCACATCATTAGGAGAATGATGTGATGGACAAGACCCAATCCTAAGCATAGCACAAAGATCGTGTAGTTCGTTTGCTAGAGCTTTGCCAATGTCAAGTATCTTTTCCTTAGACCATGAGATTGTGCAACTCCCGGATACCGTAGGAATGCTTTGGGTGTATCAAACGTCACAACGTAACTGGGTGGCTATAAAGGTGCATTACAGGTATCTCCGAAAGTGTCTGTTGGGTTGGCACGAATCGAGACTGGGATTTGTCACTCCGTGTAAACGGAGAGGTATCTCTGGGCCCACTCGGTAGGACATCATCAGAATGTGCACAATGTGACCAAGGGGTTGATCACGGGATGATGTGTTACGGAACGAGTAAAGAGACTTGCCGGTAACGAGATTGAACAAGGTATTGGTATACCGACGATCGAATCTCGGGCAAGTATAATACCGCTAGACAAAGGGAATTGAATACGGGATCGATTGAGTCCTTGACATCGTGGTTCATCCGATGAGATCGTCGTGGAACATGTGGGAGCCAACATGGGTATCCAGATCCCGCTGTTGGTTATTGACTGGAGAACGTCTCGGTCATGTCTGCATGTCTCCCGAACCCGTAGGGTCTACACACTTAAGGTTCGATGACGCTAGGGTTATAAAGGAAGCTTGTATGTGGTTACCGAATGTTGTTCGGAGTCCCGGATGAGATCCCGGACGTCACGAGGAGTTCCGGAATGGTCCGGAGGTAAAGATTTATATATGGGAAGTCCTGTTTTGGTCACCGGAAAAGTTTTGGGCGATATCGGTAATGTACCGGGACCACCGGGAGGGTCCCGGGGGTCCACCAAGTGGGGCCACCTGCCCCAGAAGGTTGCGTGGGCCAAGTGTGGGAGGGGACCAGCCCCTAGGAGGGCTGGTGCGCCCCCCACAAGGGGCCAAGGCGCAAGGGAGAGTGGGAGGGGGCAAACCCTAGTCCAGATGGGCCTTAAGGCCCATATTGGTGCGCCTCCCTCTCCTCTCCCCTCTTGGCCGCCACCACCTTTGCCATCTAGGGCTGGCCGCACCCCTTGGGGGTGGGAAACCCTAAAGGGGGCGCAGCCCCCCCTTCCCCCTATATATAGTTGAGGTTTGGGGCTGCCCATAACACATGAGTTCTCTCCCTCTTGGTGCAGCCCTACCTCTCTCCCTACTCCTCCTCTCCCATGGTGCTTTGGCGAAGCCCTGCGGGATTGCCACGCTCCTCCACCACCACCATGCCGTTGTGCTGCTGTTGGATGGAGTCTTCTTCAACCTTTCCCTCTCTCCTTGCTGGATCAAGGCGTGGGAGACGTCACCGGGCTGTACGTGTGTTGAACGCGGAGGTGCCGTGCGTTCGGCACTTGATCATCGGTGATTTGAATCACGACGAGTACGACTCCATCAACCCCGTTCACTTGAACGCTTCCGCTTAGCGATCTACAAGGGTATGTAGATGCACTCTCCTTCTACTCGTTGCTGGTCTCTCCATAGATAGATCTTGGTGATTCGTAGGAAATTTTTTGAATTTCTGCTACGTTCCCCAACAGTGGCATCATGAGCTAGGTCTATTGCGTAGATTCTTTGCACGAGTAGAACACAAAGTAGTTGTGGGCGTTGATGTTGTTCAATATGCTTACCGTTACTAGTCCAATCTTGTTTCAACGGTATTGTGGGATGAAGCGGCCCGGACCGACCTTACACGTACTCTTACGTGAGACAGGTTCCACCGATTGACATGCACTTGGTGCATAAGGTGGCTAGCGGGTGCCAGTCTCTCCCACTTTAGTCGGAACGGATTCGATGAAAAGGGTCCTTATGAAGGGTAAATAGCAATTGGCATATCACGTTGTGGTTTTGCGTAGGTAAGAAACGTTCTTGCTAGAAACCCATAGCAGCCACGTAAAACATGCAACAACAATTAGAGGGCGTCTAACTTGTTTTTGCAGGGTATGCTTTGTGATGTGATATGGCCAAGAAGAATGTGATGAATGATATGTGATGTATGAGATTGATCATGTTCTTGTAATAGGATTCACGACTTGCATGTCGATGAGTATGACAACCGGCAGGAGCCATAGGAGTTGTCTTTATTTATTGTATGACCTGCGTGTCATTGAAGAACGCCATGTAAACTACTTTACTTTATTGCTAAACGCGTTAGTCATAGAAGTAGAAGTAGTCATTGGCGTGACAACTTCATGAAGACACGATGATGGAGATCATGATGATGGAGATCATGGTGTCATGCCGGTGACAAGATGATCATGGAGCCCCGAAGATGAAGATCAAAGGAGCTATATGATATTGGCCATATCATGTCACTACTCTATTTGATTGCATGTGATGTTTATCATGTTTATGCATCTTGTTTACTTAGGACGACGGTAGTAAATAAGATGATCCCTTACAAAATTTCAAGAAGTGTTCTCCCCTAACTGTGCATCGTTGCTACAGTTCGTCGCTTCTAAGCACCACATGATGATCGGGTGTGATGGATTCTTACGTTCACATACAACGGGTGTAAGACAGTTTTACACAGCGAAAACACTTAGGGTTAACTTGACGAGCCTAGCATGTGCAGACATGGCCTCGGAACACGGAGACCGAAAGGTCGAGCATGAGTCGTATAGTAGATACGATCAACATGAAGATGTTCACCGATGATGACTAGTCCGTCTCACGTGATGATCGGACACGGCCTAGTTGACTCGGATCATGTAATCACTTAGATGACCAGAGGAATGTCTATCTGAGTGGGAGTTCATAAGATGAACTTAATTATCTTGAACATAGTCAAAAGACCTTTTGCAAATTATGTCGTAGCTCGCGCTTTAGTTCTACTGTTTTAGATATGTTCCTAGAGAAAATATAGTTGAAAGTTGAAAGTAGCAATTATGCGAACAGTAGAAAGCTTGTGTCCTTAATGCACTGCTCAGTGTGCTGAACCCCGAACGTCGTTTGTGGATGTTTCGAACATCGAACATACACGTTTTGATAACTACGTGATAGTTCAGTTAAATGGTTTAAGTAGAGGCACGAAAGATGTTTTCGAAACGTCGCGGAACATATGAGATGTTTTCGAGGGCTGAAATTAGGATTTCAGGCTCGTGCCCACGTCAAGAGGTATAAGACCTCCGACGTTTTTCTTAACCTGCAAACTAAGGGAGAAAAGCTCAATCGTTGAGCTTGTGCTCAGATTGTCTGAGTGCAACAATCACTTGAATCGAGTGGGAGTTGAGCTTCCATATGAGATAGTGATGTTTCTCCCAAAGTCATTGCCACCAAGCTGCTAGAGCTTCATGATGAACTATAACATATCAGGGATGGATAAGATGATCCTTGAGGTATTCACGATGTTTGACACCGCGAAAGTAGAAATCAAGAAGGAGCATCAATTGTTGATGGTTGGTGAAACCACTAGTTTCAAGAAGGGCAAGGGCAAGAAGGGATACTTCATGAAACGGCAAATCAGCTGCTGCTCTAGTGAAGAAACCCAAGGTTGAACCCATACCCGAGACTAAGTGCTTCTGTAATAAGGGGAACAGTCACTAGAGCAGAATTACCCTAGATACTTGGTAGATGAGAAGGCTGGAAAGATCGATAGAAGTATATTGGATATACATTATGTTAATGTGTACTTTACTAGTACTCCTAGTAGCACCAAGGTATAAGATACCGGTTCGGTTGCTAAGTGTTAGTAACTCGAAATAAAAGCTACGGCATAAACGGAGACTAGCTAAAGGTGAGCTGACGATATGTGTTGGAAGTGTTTCCAATGTTGATATGATCAAGCATCGCACGCTCCCTCTACCATCGAGATTTGGTGTTTGCGTTGAGCATAGACATAATTGGATTATGTCTATCGCAATACGGTTATTCATTTAAGGAGAATAATGGTTACTCTATTTATTTGAATAATACCTTCAATGGTCTTACACCTAAAATGAATGGTTTATTGAATCTCGATCATAGTGATACACATGTTCATGCCAAAAGATAGTAATGATAGTACCACCTACTTGTGGCACTGCCACGTAAGTCATATCGGTATAAAACGCATGAAGAAGCTCCATGTTGATGG